AGAGAGCATGAGAGGGGGAGGGTCAGAGGGAGAAGCAGACTCCCCGCTGAGCAGGGAGCCCGATGCGGGACTCGATCCCGGGACTCCAGGATCATGACCTGAGCCGAAGGCAGTCGCTTAACCAACTGAGCCACCCAGGCGCCCTTGTTTGGGTTTTTAAATATATATATATATTTTTAATCTTTGAATGGCTATAGCCCCGAGATGTTTACTCTGTCTGCATAGTGCATGCTCCCTCCCCCGCCTTTCTGTTGCATTATAGCTGGCCACATCACATACTTGTGCTACTTCCATGGTCACTGAAGGCAGGAGCTTATGAACCCTGGTATAGATTCTTCAGTTGTGTCACTTGGTACTCTTTTGTTTATTGGCTTAACGTTAACTTAGTTCTAAATTTTAAGAAGTCTTTTAAAATGGAAGTGATCCTTTATAGTTTATTGGCACCAGTCATCGTTCCTTGGTATTTAGTTGGGTTTCCTCCCACTAATCTTCCAACTGTGCTTTAGAAATTCAAGTCTGAGGGGTGCCCGGGTGGCTCAGTCAGTTAAGCGTCCGACTCTTGATTTCAGCTCAGGTCATGATCTCAGGATTGTGAGATTGAGCCCTGCATTGGGGTCTGCTCTGGGTGTGGAGCCTCTTTAAGATTCTCCCTCTCCCTGTTCCTCCCCCCCCAGCTCATGTGAGTGCACTCTCTCACTGTCTCTCTAAAAAAATAAATAAATAAAAATAAAAATCTGAGATCTGAAAAATAGTAAAAGAGCTCTGTCCATGTGCAGGGTAGGAGTATTTGGAAGTGTATACCTTGGTTAAGTACCCCAAAACTTAATGACTTACACCAACAGTCCTTTTTACTTGCTCACTGTTGTGTGGGTCAGCTAGGACTCAGCTGGGAGGTTCTGTTGAGGGTCTTGTGTGGGGTCTCATGCACTTGCAATCAGATGGCAGCTGGGCCTGGAAGATGCAAGATTGCTCTCCTCACTTGTCTCTGTCTCTGTGGGGATCACTAGCTGTGACCTCTGCGTGGCTAGTATAGGCCTCTGTGTACGCAGGTGGAGCCCAGGAGGTAGCATCCCAAGAGCACGGGCATCACACTTGCTGCTGTCTCACTGTGGGCGGGGCCTGCGCTGGGCTGAGTGCCAGGAGACATGGCTCATCGGGAGCCCCAAAGTGCTAGGCTTTCCCCGTCCTGACAGGTACTTTCTGGAGTGGTGGAACCAGGCAGGACACCAGGCACCCGAGATGGCGTGAGACGCCTTACTGAAAATTGCAGACTATAAGTCAGCAGATTGGTGAATGAATCCTCCCCGTCCCTTTCTTCCGTCCAGCTGCCATGGTGCCGAAGGTCGGGGCTGCTGTGAAGAAGAGACATTCAGGGGACAAAGTGATGTCTTCAGTTCTAAACACACAGCAGAGATGAAAAAGCTCAGCAGAAGGGCTGGAAGGGAGAGTGGAGGGACTCCCCAGTAGGTAGAACAGGCGCACTGCAGAAGCAGTGGGCAGGAGAGAAGTTGGGGGGCTGGTGTGGGGAAGTGCAGTAGCCGCCCACAGGAGATGCATCATCCCTGGTGTCACCATTTCCCGGCTGTGGGAAGCCAGGAGTGATCTGTGAATGATTTAGGTAGGGTCGCGTGGTGAGCCCTGGTGTGACGTTCAAACCCAGGTCTTTTTGACTCCCCTGTTGCTCCCTGTGGATGGAACACCCAAGTGTCCTGTTGGTTAGTGACCACAGGGTTGGGGTGGGAGTACCCATCCAGCAGTTAGGGAGTGTCCAGTTCACATGATCTCTCCATAGAAGATGAACCTTTGAGATGGATGGAATAGTGACAGAAACCTTTGAATGTGGAGAGAAGAGAGGATGGGGGACTGAGTGCTATGGTCTTTGCTTCCCTCATGATGAGAAGGATGGGTGCTGTGGAGAGGCTGGAGGAGGACTGAACGTACCGTGGAAAGGGAGCACATGACAGAATTCTCCAGCAGCAGTGAGATAGTAGCTGCCGCATCTGACGGAGGCGCGGGCTCCTTGGGCACGTCTGTGTCTTCGGCACCACTCGCAGCCTCAGGCAAGGGAGTGTGGCCGTGCCGGGGCCTCGGAGTCCAGGCGGAATCCGGGGGACTTGGGCTGATCGGGGTCAGGTTAATTACCTTTCTTAGTCCTCCAGTTTCCAACTCAAAGCAGAGCAAAATTTAAAGGCATTTTAGAATCAGTGAATCCATTAATGAGATTCTGGAGAATGGAAAACACACACAAAGTCTAGAAATGGCACCAGCGTCTGGGTGACTGATGTGACAGGCGCTCTGACGGCGCCTCACGGCGTACGTCATCCTGGTTCGCCCTCACGGACCTTGAGGGGAAAGTGTAGTGTTGTCAGCGTCACAGATAAAAGTTCACGCACCTGCTGCTCAGTGCATATGTGCAGGGTGGGAATGCAGACCCAGCCCGGTGGGGCCCCAGGGCCCAATACATTCCACTTGGCCATTCCCCCTGACCAGCAGGCATCTTTACAGTGTCAGCTCCAGGACAGGACCCTGTCTCTCCGGGGGTTACGCCTGGCCCAGGGGTGCTCATGACCGTTTGTTGACCGAGTGAGTGCTAAACCAGTGGATGCTCATGCATTCAGAAACTGGCCAGTTCCCGTGTGTGCTTCCCCAGTTTCTGGATTTGGAGGACAGTTGCTTGAATTTTAGCGTGCTCTTACTGTTCCAGGGGGTGAGGGGCATTTTTACACGTTCATTTGATGCTGGGCCGTGACTGTAGGTGATACCATTCGAAAAAACAATTCATGAGTTCAGTGAGTGGTAGCAGTATTTTCACCTGTAGCATGTTCTTCCTTACAGTTGTCACTGTTACTTTATTCCTTTTTTTTTTTTTTAAGATTTTATGTATTTATTTATGAGAGAGAGAGAGGAGCAGAGGGAGAGGGAGAGGGGGCAAGTGACGCGGGGCTCGATCTCACGACTCTGAGATCTCGACCCGAGTTGAAACCAAGAGTCAGATGCTTAACCAACTGAGACACCCAGACGCCTCTAATTTACTTTATTTCTTAAGATACGGTAGGCTCCCAGTATTCTTGAGTGCCCTCGGGGTATGATATACTATGGAAACACTAAAATACCTAATAGTTTATATCATAATTGGGAAAGCAAATGGAATTTCTCATTAACAGCACCAAATTAACATTGCAGAATGCCTGCTGGGAGGTGAGCGGGTACAGTGCTGCTTCGGGTGCCCTGTTTTGTGCCTCAGTTTACAATTACAACCCCGCAGTCTAATGATTATGCGTAAGGTAAGTAGGACGCTGCAGGAGTCAGGGAGAGAAGCCAGAGGCCTGGTGGGGGCTTAGCTTGCCTTTATGTACAGAGTTAAGGGGTAAGCTCCCTGTTTCGTTGCCATTTATATATGAGAGCAAATATATGTATACTTCTAAGCTGCATTACTGCACAAAACAATGCAGCTTGACAGATACGTGGACGTAATATCCGAGACAAAGCCTGAAACGTCTCGTCCCTTGGTTCTCATGCTCGTTCCGTGTAGATTGAAACAGCCGGCCGCTGTAGGGTCCCGAATGGACTTGAACGGGCGATCCCTAGAGGCTCGGTCTTCGGCCCTGGCACTAGGTTCAGAAACACAGTGACTTGGGCTTGCTGTACAGAGCAGCATGCAGCAGGCGGCGTGTCAGCTGACACCGGTGTTAGGTTCGTGGTCTGGAGGAAATGCAATGAAACAGCCACACCGAGCGCGCCTGGAACGTTATGGTAAGCAGAGGCTTTCTGATGGCGTTGTGGCGGCCGAGCAGGGTCTGTGACTAATATTTGCTGCGGGGTTTCTGAGTGGTTTTAAGGGAAGGACGGCTCTTTGGTGGCCCATTTCCCTGTCGCCCCCTGGCCTGTCTCCCCACTAAACGCTGTGATCTGCCGTGGACAGAGTGAAACTGTCCCTCTCTACAGTTAACCATTTTCTCTGTGCTCTGTTTCTTGCTGTTCAAACTGGAGCTGTGCGGTTTCTTGTTAGGATATCTATAATACTTGTGCTGAGTCATTTTGAGTTCAGTGAATGGGGAAAAGTTCTATTTTTAGCCCCTCAAGGCCCCGTGAGGGCAGCGGGTTGAGCAGAGTCATGCGCACCTGTCTGGGTCGGGCCCACCTAAGAGAGACTCACTTCCAATTTAAACAGGACTTTTGACCACTGAATAAAGGTCCTCAGAAATACGTTTGTTCTTCTCGTACCCTGTGAAGGGTTTTTCTTTCTTCCTTGAGAAAGAGAAAACTGTTAAAGTTGGAAAGTCTGCATAGTGAAAGATGATTTGTTTTGTGCCTGTTTGCAGCGTTCGTCTTTCTTTAACCTTTGGCTCTTCTGGTTAGCCTCTCCATTTCAGGCTTCTGTGTGCACTGTCCTTAGCTGCCCCCCCACCCCCAGTGGAGCCTAACGCCCTGCTCGTGACCGTTCAGAGAAAACCGAGCTTCCGCGCTCGCTCTGGGCCGTGGGGGCTGTGCACTGCGCTCTCTGTTGCCGTCAGCCGTGTTCACTTCACAAAAGAAAACATTGGCCTTCTTTTCTCTAGACTGTGAGCTCCTAGAGGAGCTGCATGAGGTTTGTGTGATTCCCCCCGCCGCCCCCGCCGTCTATTGAGTCTGATACAAGACCTTGCTCACATAGATATGGAATATTGTTTTGGATGGTGACTGACTTGTAGTCGTATGATGGGCACATCGGTGTGTCGGCCGCACTGCAAGCAGATGCTACCCCCTGGGAGGACAGGCCGTCCTGGGAGGCACATTAATGTTCTCACGTTTTATCAGTAAGTGCCACTGACTGTACTGGATTCCTAAAATATGTGTGCTAGGTCTGATTGGCAAACCCGGAGTGTTTTCAGCTCTCGTGTGGTTTAAATATTGCTAACGTATTTCATTTGGAACAGGGAAGATTGGTAAAACCTTTATATTAAAGTAAGAGTGTACAAAGGCCTGGTAGTGAACTAACGGGTGTTTTTGTTCTCACACAGAGCTCTGGCATCGAGACCTTAGTGGAGGAGCTCTGCTCCAGACTCAAAGACCTTCAGAGTAAGCAAGGTGAGTGCACAGCCTCCAGAACCCATCCGCACACAGTGGGCTTCGGGCACCAAGGGATTTGACTCAGGAGATGCTAGAATCGGCCAGAGACAGACAACAAGAAACAAGTCTCTGTGTCCAGTGTGTCGCCATGCCAGCATCATGCTGTGCCTTCAGCTGCAGTGGCTTCTTGGTCACCCTCAGCAGTCACTCGTAGATAATCCCTGCTCTCAGAGGAGCAACTTAATTCACAGATGCCCTCATTGGGGGTGGTGGGAGGTGGCGGGTAGGTTTTGTTTCCTCTTCACATCGAAGTACAGGGATCAGGAGCAATATTTTCGCTTTCCCATCCTTGCCCCCCCCGTTGGTATCTGCCTGTTGACATCACGGCCTCTAAAGGTTTCAATTCTGTTTCAGGCCCGAAAGGAACTTCTGCCTTGGCTGTCAGGTTTTTTTGGAAAGGCAGTCTTGGGGCTCGTTAAAGTCATTTTGACTCATGAAGCCTCACAGCTTCTTGTCGCAACTTTTCTGCAAGCTCTTGGTGAAAGCTACATGTTAAGGTGAAGGGACTTGGTTTCCTTGTCCTCTCCATGGCCGTTTTCGCTGCCCGCCAAGCCTTGAGCCTTCCTGAAGAGTTTGTAACCGAAGGCAGTCTTGGGAGCTAAGCTGAGAGTTCAGCCCTTTGCTTCTGTTTTAGTTGACACACGGCCCTTGCTCACCTAGACGTTGTAACAGAGCTGATTGTAATGGGTTTTCTTTCTTTCGTTCTTTCTTTTTTTTAAAGATTTTATTTGACAGGGAGAGAGACAGCGAGAGAGGGAACACAAGCAGGGGGAGTGGGAGAGGGAGAAGCAGGCTTCCCGCGGAGCAGGGAGTCCGATGTGGGGCTCGATCCCAGGACCCTGGGATCATGACCTGAGCTGAAGTCAGAAGCTTAACGACTGAGCCACCCAGGCACCCCTATAATGGGTTTTCTTTACAGATTAGTATCAGTCAGAATGAGTCAGTACAGAGTCTATGGGTGCAGAATTTTGTGAGGATCTCAACAGATGTTCTCTCCTTCTGGTGAAGTTAATAGAGGATTTCAGTCTTTTAATCAGGTGCCTCTAGAGCCCTTGATCAGTGATGAGGCGAACAGTTCTCCCCTCCCAGCCCACCGTTAGTGTGGTTAAGCTAGAGAATTCCCTCTGGGGCTGTGAAAAAAAGAGATTTTTATTAAAAAGACAGATGGGTCTAGAGTTCTTTTTAAGCCATAAAGCCTATATAAGTTCTGATTAAAGTTACTTGAGAAACTTTAAAAAACAGGAGCATTTATTAACTAGATATAAGACCTATCTTTCTGAATTTTTGTTTCGTAACAGAAGAGAAGATTCACAAAAAGTTAGAGGGGTCTCCCTCTCCAGAGGCAGAATTATCCCCTACAGCAAAGGATCAAGTGGAAATGTATGTAAGATTGTATTCAGTAATAAAGTGTGCATTTGTTAAAATCAGACTAATAACTGCTATGTGGTTTACAGTTTTTGTTCATTGTCTTGTATTTAATTTCATATTTTATAATTCAGGAAATACTCGTTGAGCACTTACTATGTGCTTGACACAGAATTCAGACGTGAATAAGATGGTCCTATCCTTACCCTCCATACTGAATCAGTATTTGTGAAATGAATGAATGGAGCAAGCAAGGTTATTACTTACAGTCCATTCGCATGCTGTCTCACCAGTCCTTGGAGACAGCTGTGAGAAAGTGTGCTCACCCTTGTTTCACATACAAGGAGACCAAGTTTTCTCCTGCTGATTACAAAGAAATATGGGCAAGTCATTGACCTTGTCAAGCTTGTTTCCTGAAGATGCTCTTTGCTCTTTCTTTGTAAATGGTTAGTAAAATCAGCTACACTATAAGCAGAACTTCCTTATTATACATTTTATTTGAATCTTTTGAACTTCTCGAACTTAAGGTGAAAATAGCTTGTATTGGCTGGTGTGGACCTGTGCCGTCCAGTGTGGTCTCCGTGAGCCACGTGTGGCTATTTAGCACTTGATATGTGGCTTCTTCAAATTGGGATGTGCTGTAAATGTAAAATTCTCACCAGATTTAGAAGACTTGGTATAAAAAAGAATGTAAAATACTGCATTAATATTTTTAAGTATCAATTACATGGTGAAATGATAATGTTATGGATGTGTTTGGTTAAGTAAAAGTACATTATTAAGTTCAGTTTCACCTTCTTACACTTTTAATTGTGACTCCTAGGACATTAAAAATTACATTTGAGGCTCACCATGTATTTCTGTAGACAGCTCTGGTAGAGTCTGAAAAGGAGAATCAAGTATAGGCCCTTTGAAAACATGGCCTTTTTTATCACTTCGTGTGTGACCTTGACTGTTGCCTCCAGAACGACAGTCCCCTCGGTAGGCAACCCGACGCCAGATTCTTGCTCTGGCAATCTGTCTTGCTCTGAAATCTGTGATGGCCACCAGCTTCTTGGCAGTTTGGAAACAACTTCTTCTTGTTTTCAAGCCCTGTAAAGGCAGCCTCGCCAGCTTTTCCTATCCTGCATTTCCTGTAGTCGCTGGTCTCTTCGGGTCTTGTGTCCACACACAGGCACCCGTGCCTCACAAGTTGTTGTCCCTAAACTCTGTTTCCGGAGCGTCCAGGCTCTGCTGTGGTCCACTTGTTCTCATGGTTCTCGGCTGCACCAGCATCCTCTCTTTGACCCCTCGAGCGCCCTGCCTAATCCCTCCTGTTTCCGAGCGCCTGCGGATGCCCAGCATTTCTCCTGAGAACACGTGGTGAGGACAACCACGTAATGTCCCGGCTCCACTGGCACATTAATTCCTTTACTCCTCCCAGCTCTGTGAGGCGGCTAATCATATTCCCTGCGTCTCGCAGGCCATGAAAAGGTCCTGTCACGGGCCTGAGGTCACACAGCTGGTCAGGGCGGAGTCAGGGCTCACAGTCGGGGAGTGCATCTTCAGAGCTCATGCTCTCCGGCTTTCAGCTCCCTCTGTTTCCCCTGCTCCCAACAGCCTCGGGAGGTAAGTCCTGTCCTCACCAGTTTGCAGCTGAGAGTGTGGACCAAGACATCAGATAATGAGCTGAAAGTCACATGCATAGTAAGTGACGGGAGCTGAGATCCAAATGCAGATATATCTTCTTGAGATGTTCTTAATTAAAATGACAACTTGAAAGATAAAAACTGTCCTCTGCCCTATTTTCTAAATATTTCTAAATCAGTGCTGACCTCAGTGCTGAACATAAAGGTGCTCGATACGTGGGACTAAACGTAAACCATATTTCACTGTATTTTTTTTTTTTTCTTTTTAAAGTCTTAGTTTGTGGATGACGTAAATGTTGACCGTTAAAGGGAAATACCCGTCACTCCACCTGGGAGGGACTGTTGTTTTGCTGTATCTCGTACATCTGAGTGCCTGCTTTTGAACTCTGTCCTCTGTTTTTCAGGTACTATGAAGCATTTCCACCACTGTCTGAGAAACCAGTTTGCCTGCAAGAAATCATGACTGTGTGGAACAAGTCTAAAGTCTGTTCTTACTCTAGCTCTTCTTCATCATCCACAGCCCCACCAGCTAGCACAGACACATCCTCCCCCAAGGACTGCAACAGCGAAGGCGAAGTCATCAAGGAAAGAAGCAGCGAAGCACCCACCTCTGTACCCGCGAAAACCCAGAGCAAAAGTCAAAGCGAGAAGGAGAACAAATTCAGTAATGGCACAATGGAAGAGAAGCCTGCTTTGTACAAAAAGCAGATCCGACATAAGCCTGAAGGAAAGATTCGCCCTCGCTCATGGTCTTCCGGCTCGAGTGAAGCAGGCTCAAGTTCAAGTGGTCATCACGGAGAATTAAAAGCATCCGTGAAGTGTGTGAAAGTCAGACACAAGACACGAGAGATTCGGAACAAGAAGGGGCGGAACGGGCCCAGCAGGCTCTCGCTGAAGCCCGGCGACAGGGCTGAGCGGGGCGTGCCTGCGGCGGGGAGTGGCGGGGGCTCCTTCAAGCCGCTGTGCCGGCGTGGGAAGAGGCCCTTGAAGGACCCGGGGAGAAGGGACACCGGGAGCGCCGAGGGGAGAGACCTGTCCCTGGAGAGCAGAAACGACAGAGAATATAAAGAGGAACCACTGTGGTACACTGAACCGATTGCTGAGTATTTTGTTCCTTTGAGCAGAAAGAGTAAACTAGAGACCACGTACCGAAAGCGACAGGACACGAGCGATGTGACGTCAGAGGCAGTGGGAGAGCTGTCAGAGTCCGTGCGCGGCCTTTGTCTCGGCAACAGTAATGTTCATAAAACATACCTCGCAGCAGGTACTTTCATTGATGGTCATTTTGTCGAAATGCCTGCCGTTATCAATGAGGATATTGACCTCACTGGGACCTCATTCTGTTCTCTCCCAGAGGACGACAAGTATCTGGATGATATTCATCTATCAGAATTAACGCACTTCTATGAAGTGGATATTGACCAATCCATGTTGGATCCTGGTGCCTCAGAAACAATGCAAGGAGAAAGTCGGATTTTGAATATGATTCGACAAAAAAGCAAAGAGAAAACAGATTTTGAGGCAGAATGTTGCATAGTGTTAGATGGAATGGAGTTGCAAGGGGAACGTGCAATATGGACAGATTCCACCTCTGTGGGTGCCGAGGGCTTCTTCCTGCAAGACTTGGGCAATCTGGCTCAGTTTTGGGAGTGCTGTTCATCCAGCTCGGGCGACGCCGACGGAGAGAGTTTTGGGGGAGATTCTCCAATTCGACTCTCTCCGATCTTGGACGGCACAGCGCTCAATCCGCATTTGCTTGCTGGCAATCAGGAGCTCTTTTCAGATATTAATGAAGGATCTGGCATAAACTCGTGTTTTTCAGTGTTTGAAGTGCAATGCAGTAATTCTGTTCTACCATTTTCGTTTGAAACTCTCAACTTGGGAAATGAAAATACAGATTCTAGTGCTAATATGCTTGGGAAAACCCAGTCTAGATTGCTAATATGGACCAAAAATAGTGCCTTTGAAGAAAATGAACACTGTTCTAATCTTTCAACCAGAACTTGTAGCCCATGGTCCCATTCAGAAGAAACACGTTCAGACAACGAGACGTTAAATATTCAGTTTGAAGAGTCCACGCAGTTTAATGCAGAAGATATTAATTATGTAGTTCCTAGAGTCTCATCAAATTACGTAGATGAAGAACTTCTAGATTTTTTGCAAGATGAAACTTGCCAGCAAAACAGTAGAACGTTAGGAGAAATTCCTACCTTAGTTTTCAAAAAAAAATCGAAACTAGAATCTGTCTGTGGCATTCAGCTCGAACAAAAGCCGGAACACAAAACCTTGGAAACTGCTCGAGGATGTGGCGAAAGCAGTCCACGTGGAGGCGGCTACAGCTCAGGGGTTATTAAGGACATTTGGACAAAGACGGCAGACGTGGAGAGAATCGACGAGGAGCTGTTCCCGGCGGACGCCAGTGACTGCTGCCGCTGCCTGGAGGCGGAGGCCGAGGGCCTGCGGGCGCCCCACAAGGCCGTGCAGCGGTCCGAGTACCGCCTGTGGGAGGGGCACAAGGAGAGCGTGGAGAAGAGAGCTTGCGTCTCCGGGGCGCTCTCGAAGGTGGACGGCGGCGACTATACCACACCCTCGAAACCTTGGGGTGTGGCCCAGGACAAAGAGAACACGTTCATCCTCGGAGGAGTGTACGGAGAGCTCAAAACCTTCAGTAGCGATGGGGAGTGGGCGGTCGTGCCGCCCAGCCACAGCAAGGGAAGTCTCCTGCAGTGTGCGGCTTCTGACGTCGTGACCATAGCTGGTACGGACGTCTTCATGACCCCAGGCAACAGCTTCGCTCCCGGTCACCGGCAGTTATGGAAGCCCTTCGTGTCCTTCGAACAGAACGATCAGCCGAGGAGTGGGGAGAATGGATTAAATAAGGGATTTTCTTTTATCTTCCATGAAGACTTCCTGGGAGCTTGTGGTAACTTTCAGGTTGAAGATCCTGGGCTTGAATATTCCTTCTCTTCCTTTGACTTAAGTAATCCATTCTCACAAGTTCTTCACGTAGAGTGTTCGTTTGAACCCGAAGGGATTGCCTCTTTCAGCCCTAGTTTTAAACCGAAATCAATCCTCTGCTCTGATTCAGACAGCGAAGTTTTTCACCCCAGGATCTGTGGCGTCGACAGAACACAATACCGGGCTATTCGCATCTCTCCTAGGACTCACTTCCGCCCAATTTCTGCATCCGAGCTGTCACCAGGAGGAGGAAGTGAGTCGGAATTTGAATCTGAGAAAGATGAAGCAAATATTCCCATTCCTTCTCAAGCTGATGCATTTGAAGACCCACAGGCCGATCTCCAGCCACTGGAAGAAGATGCCGAGAAAGAAGGCCATTACTATGGAAAATCGGAGCTTGAGTCTGGAAAATTCCTTCCCAGGTTAAAAAAATCTGGCATGGAAAAGAGTGCTCAGACATCACTGGATTCTCAGGAGGAATCAGCTGGGATTCTGCCAGTGGGGAAGCAGAATCAGTGTTTGGAATGTAGCATGAATGAATCTCTGGAAATTGCTTTAGAAAGCTCAGAAGCAAATTGTAAAATAATGGCACAATGTGAGGAAGAAATTAATAATTTTTGCAGTTGCAAAGCAGGTTGTCAGTTCCCTGCTTATGAAGATAATCCAGTTTCTTCGGGACAGCTGGAAGAGGTAGGTGGTTGTCTGTGTGTGTTGGTGCTTGATAGAAGTTGTTGATTGGACTTGAATGCAAGAGCAGCTGAATCAGGCAATGAAAGGATAGGGTGAAATTAATTGGGAAATTGGCTTCAGTGTCTGAAAACTTACATGGTTGTGATTTTACATAAGGACTTAAAACGGGTTTGATATTTACAAATTGGAAGTAGACCGTGGACCTCTTCTGCAGAGAAAAGACATTTTTCTATCATAAGGTAGAAGATTTTGTCTTAATACGCATGTACTGTGCCGCAAACCAAATACACTGGCATTCCAGCCTTCGAAGCTGATGGATCACAAAGTGGCTGTTTACTCCTCGGAAGGCCCCGCGTGCTCTTCGGAAGCAGAAGCAGAGGGTCTCTTGAAGTAGCAAGCCTATCTCATGGTCTCCGAAACGCTGATCAGTTTAGAACTTGGGTTTTTCATGTAAAATAAATTACATCCTGTATAGAGTTCTCTAAAGCAGATGGTGGTACTTGTGTAAAAACCCACAATCCCAGTGCAGCAAAAGAGCTGCTACAGAACCTACGTGGATGGACCTCACTTTATACCAAGTGCATAATATTCCTAAAGCTATGTGACTCACACGTTAAAACGAAGCTAATAGTGGTAGTTTTGTGAATGGGAGTCATTGTACCCTTTGACTATTTCTAAGAAGTGGTTTGAGGTTAAATTGAGTGTGCAAGAAATATCACTGAAGGTAATAACCTGTTCCACAAAAAAGCTCAGCAATCTGCTCATTTCTCAGCCGTTATTTGATCAGCGGTGCCTGACCTGTGTCCAGGAGCAGCTTAGTAAAAAGGCAGTTGGAGGTGCTTGGAAGTCATGGCGCCTGTGGCTGGAGAGCAGCTGAATGTCCCCCACCCCCCCACCCCCTGGCCCGGTGCACGTTCCCCCCACCTCTGCTACCGCTAAATCCTACCCAGGTAACAAGGCTATCTTCAGACCCCCCTTCTGATACTCGTCCTGATTCCTTCTTTCTCCCTTCTCTCCCACCACCACCTGCATCAGAACGAAAGCCTCCTTTCTCTCTTCATGCACCATGCCCCTTTTTCTGTTGCAGTTTCCACGTTTCATGAGTCATGTACTTTCTCTCGTTAGATTATCCGCTCCTAATGGCAACGGACTGTGCCTTCCTCGCTTGTGGGGCCATGCCTGGGGGGACCTGAGTGCGTGTGATGGGAGGAAGCCCCACAGGCGACTCGAGGGTCACTGCTCTGAGTAGCCTGCCCAGAGACCCTAAGGGGGGCATGCATTGGGTCTCACCGAAACACTGAAACCGAGCTGCCAAGAATGAAAACGAATAATGTTGTTAGCCTTTACCTGTTTGTTTATTGCCCCACTTTTTGTCCTTGAATATTCCTTTATGTACTTTGTATTTCACCTGGTTCCAGATTGGGAAGAAAGAAAAAGAGGGAAGAAGCGAGATTCTACCACAGATCATACCACTGCCATATTCCTTCGCTTTCTAGTATGTTGATGGATTTATGTGTTATCAGAATTCTGGGTTGTCTTGGAAGGTCTCAGTCGCGAGTGAAGTCCTGAGGGACATTGTGGGGTTGTCTGCTAGGGTCGGCGTAGCCGCTCCTACCAGCTCCGGCCTCTGGGCGCCGGTGCTCTGGGGTAGAGTCAGGGTGGAGCTCACATCCTGGCTGGATCTGAGGTACGGAAAGGTTGAGAGAGTGACCTGAAGGGACAGTGTGGGGGCCAGGCTGGGACTAGAGTATATGCCTTTCCACTCTCACACTGCCTGGGCAGTCTAGGGGAGCTCCTGCAAGGGTCTTCTTCCCCCTTTTCCTGAGAGAGGGCAGTCTGGGAGCCCTGTTGTAAAGGTCGCTGTTGAAAGGCCACCTGGTCCAGAGCAAATGGACTAAAATGTAGGAATTCTAGGGGCGCCTGGCGGGTTCAGTTGGCAGAGCATCGACTCTTGATTTCAGGGTGGTGAGTTCATAAGCCCCATGTTGGGCATAGAGTTTACTTGAAAAGAAAAGAAAACACTTAAGATGTAGGAATTTTAATGGAATTGGTGTCCAGGAGCATGGATTCTTTTCAAAAGCTTAGTTCAATCAGTTCAGCAAACATTTTTTGAATACCTGTTACATGCCCATCACTAAGGTAGGTGTCCTGTATGAACAGGTCACCGTCCTTGCACTGGAAGAAGTCAGTCTAGTTACAAAGACCACTTTGGAAGTAGATAATTTACTTTAATTGAAATAGGTCATTTATTCACATGGCTCAAATTCAGAAGTTACAAGAGGGTGTGTGTGTACACAGTGAACAGGCTCTCCCAAGCGGCAGGTGCGAGCTTGCGTCCTGGCCCGTCTTTCGAGGGTATTTATGCATGTAGAAGCAAAGGCATGTTCACACACGTTTCCTCTTCTTTTTTCTCTTTTCACAGAAATGGCACTTTATTGCATCCTCTTCCATTGTATGGATGGATGTATTAGGATTTGCCTATAGCCAGTTCCTTATGTTTTAGGGCATCTAGGCAAATGTAACTGTAGGGATCAGGGGAGGTGGCATGGTGGAGGTGAGCACAGAATGCCTCGGGAGCCCAGAGGCAGCCGTCCCGACAGTGAGAGTTGAGGGGGGCTTGTTGCACACACCTGAGCGGCCTGGGGCAGAAGGGAGAGGAGGCGGGGCACTCGAGGCAGAAGGAACAGCATCAGCAAAGGCGAAGAGGCACCTGCCAGCAGTTAGGTTGTGCCTTGTGAAATATAAAATGGAAGGTGAGGAGAAGCAAAGTGTGCCTTGGGTTCCATTTGTGCATAAGTTTGTGGCTCAGGTGTGCTCCTTGTCATTGACTTATTGCCGACCCAGTGTCATATAATCTGGAGCACCAAAGAGCAGCAGAAGGCTTGGGCTGTCTTCAGGAGTTTGCGGTCTGGTCCCAGAGAGGAGGCCGTTTTAACCGCAGAGGGTGTACGGTGGCATCAGAAGGCTCTGATGAGTGGAGGGGGTGGGGGGCCATCCTTGGAGTGTGGTACCTGGCCCCCCTGTGCCAGGCGCTGTGCCCACTCTGTCACCATTATCCCACTGAATGCCCACAGTGACCTTCTGCAATGGATTTCTGTCCCCTCCCCCTGACTATGAAGGCCACGTAGGCCCAGAGGGGTGGAGTCCCTGCCCCTGAGCCCAGCGTCAGGGACAGAGCCTGAGTTCTTTCCTCTGCTTTGGCACGCAGGGTCTCTTGTTGGTCTCAGTGGCCCTCGGCAGCTCTTCATCTACATGGGCTTTCTTTTCCTCTTGTGACCCAGATGGGTGGGAGCTGACTGTGGCTGAGGGCCCCTTCTCCATGCTCTTCCCAGAGTAGAGCTCGAAGAGGAACACCAATGACCTTTGTCTTCCCAAACCCGGGAGCACTTAGTAAGAGTTCAGGGAGGTGCCTCTACCCAGCTTCCAATGTCTATAAAAACTTTCTGAGTATCCCATCTTTTGCTGAAAACATTTCTGGTCAGGCTTTCTGGCTTAAATTTATGTCCTCTCTGTTTTTTCACAGTTTCATTCATTTGTCAAGTATTTTTGGGGAACCCTACTGTCGGTGCTGGTATGGGTGCCGGGGACAGGCGCAGAGCCCCGCCCTGGCCAGTCACATTCAGCAGTGGCATGCGATCCATTAGTCGGTGTGCGGTGTGCTGGTGTACCAGTGCCGCGGAGGGGGCCAAGAGCTGGCTCAGGGCTGCAGCACAAAGGGGTGCTTGGAGGACTTGCCGCAAGAAGCAGGGGCTCAGGGCAGGCTTCTCGGCAAAGGTGCCATGTGAAGACGGGCTTGCAGGTGTGAAAGCGAGCCAAGCAGCTGTCGGGAGAGGGAGAGCGGTGCAGTGGCAGAGGTGCCCGGCCTGCCCACGGCCATGCCCTCGTCTGGCTTCCTTCCCTCCATTCTCCGTCGGCCAGAAGTTGAATCCGTGCATCCAGCAGAGGTTATTCAAGCCAAGCATGGTCATCTTTGCTGTGCAACTAGTGGTTGCAGACAGTGGACTGGAATGTCGTCCTAAGATAACGCAGGTTCATTGAGTGTGTATTCAGTGTAGTAAAGAACGACAAAAATGTCTCTGCCTTTGGAATTGACTTTCAAGGGCAGGAAGGAGAAAAATTCCTAAAACTGTAGCAGAAACTGGCATGACTTTAACAGTGGTTTCAGCCCGAGGTGGGGGCTGGGGGAGGCGGAGGATGGTGGGCCAGATAATCCCGGACCTGCGTGTCCGGGTGGAGCCTTTTCTTCAGGCCAGCAGACATTGAGCATCCCGCATTCCTGTGCCCGGAGGCGCACGGGTAAATGAGACAGGAGTCCTGCTCGTAAGAAGCTTCCTGCCTCTCCGCTCCAGTCTCGTCTAGTCTGCTCTCTGTTCATGCTGACGCCTCCAGCCTGCTCTCCTGGCCCTTTCCCACCCTCCGCGATGAGTTCTCTCTCCCTCCCTTTCTTACCCTTGCCCCCACTCCTATGGTCTCGGGACAGGGTCGCAGGAATAAACACTGATCGCCCCCAACTGCCTGGGACGTTTTCTTTTGCAGGTACAAACAAGCCGCCTCTGCCCTGCCTTCAGTGGTGCCTTGGGGATGGGGGCAGCTGCTCTGTCCAGGGAGCCTTCTTGCTCCTCCCACACGGCACTAAGTTGTCATCCCATAGAGTAGGTGCGCCTTGCAGAGCAGGCTGGGCCTTTCTGGAAAGGTCTAGGGGTTCTGGAAATTATGTGCCAGATGCAGTTAATTTCCTTGAACTAGCTGTAGACCTTGGCTGTTGTGGCTTCGTTTGCATGAAATCAGCGGGGTGCTGACTACTGTCCTTGGAGTAAGCTGGGGGAGAGCCCCGTGAAGGTGAACTGGCCACTCTGGGTACCCAGTACCGTTTTCTCTCAGTGTCTAATTTGAGAGTATTTCTTTTTGCAAAATTAGGTTAAGTGAAAAATGAAGGTTGGAAGTGTTTCCCATTAGTTAAATAATAAAAAACACATTATTGAATCAAAAAGTCTTTGACCCGTAAGACAATTTACACGTAAGAGAAGAACAAAGTCCCGTCAGAGGATTGAAGGTCGTTGGTTGCCAAAGCTGCTCAGGCTTTAAGTTTGAACACACGGTGAAATGTCTTCTGAAGCAGTAGGCGCATGCAGTATCCACAGGCCTTATTTGGATTGAGTCCCAACGTCCTCTGGTTCTCAGCAGAGCACATAGTTGAGTTAAAAAGACACGTAGGTTGTAACTCTGCCTACGGTTTCCTTCGTCCCGTACTCTCATCTTTGACTCCCTCCTGCCCGAGTGTGTAAAGGTGAAGAGGGTCCTCTCTTCCCTGGAGTGTCTCACACCAGTGGAGACTTAGGGCCACCCCGTTATTTTTCTGCACTTCCCAAATCTAGAAATTTGCCTTGCCTGGGCATATTCATTGGGGATATTTTGCCTTGTAAGGGTTTTATTGTGTCTTTTAAAAAGATCTTCACTCCACTTCCAATATAAGTCCTTCTTAAGAAAAGCTTCCTTTATATGTTATGAACACTTTGGCTTTTTTTTTTTTTATTATTTAAGGTATTTATTTGAGAGAGAGAGTGAGAGCCCGAGAGCGGGGTAGGGGCAGAGGGATAAGCCAGACTTCCCGCTGAGCAGGGAGCCCCATGTGGAGCTCAGTCCTGGGACTCTGGGATCGAGACCTGAGCCACCCAGGTGCCCCAACACTTTAGCTTTTTAAATTCACTTTGTTGGGGTGCCTGGCTGGCTCAGTCAGTGGAGCATGTGACTCTTGATCTCAGGGTCGTGAGTTTGAGCCCCACATTGTGTGTAGAGATTACTTAAAAATAGTATCTAAAAAAAATAAATTCACCTTGTCTAGAACAGTATTAAAAACAAAAGTCATCAATTTAAAAAATCCTGGATTTGTAGTTCTTAGTTAATAATGTTTGAATTTTCTCCTTTATCCTGAAAGTTTGTAAACTTTTTCTGTTTTTGTTTAACCTAAACAGTTTCCCGTATTGAACACTGATGTTCAAGGAATGAATAGGAGTCAAGAAAAGCAGACCTGGTGGGAAAAAGCCTTGTACTCTCCTCTCTTTCCTGCATCAGAGTGTGAAGGTAAGGAGGCCTGTGTTAGGTCATTGGTTCATCCACTCATTCGGATTTCTAATTCATTAAGAGCAATACATTCTTTCACTATGAATAGCAGTCCGAAAAGCACTTACCAAGAGGCTTTTGTGTAGCCAGCATTTGTCAGGCACTGGGGACACAGAGATGAGTGAGAACTGGGGCCCACCCACCCTTAGCCTGATGTGGGGAAAGGCATGGAAATACACAAAGGCAGGACCGACCTTTGCCAAAGCCTGTTCAGGATCGCAGTGAATAGTGAAGGGAGTGGGGGGTGGGGGTAATCAGCTGTGGGGGGATCTTCAGGAAGCCGCCGGGGGGCGGGGGGAGGGCAGACCCTGTGAAAGGAACAGCTTGCACGGGGGCAAGATGGACTCTGGCAAGTGGGCCCAGCTGGGTTGTAGCTGAGGGCAGGAAGGCAGATTGAGAAGATGGCAAATTGGAGGGTGTCAGTTCCAGTGTGCGTTTTAGAACAGTTCTAGCAGCAGAGTGGAGAAGGGGTTGGACAGCTGGGGTTAGCAGCTGGGGTTCTGGGCCCCTGCCGCGGCTGTCTGGGAGGCCCAGGGTCAAGGCCTGGTCTCAGGCCCTGCAGGGGGAGTAGGGGAGAGAGCAGCACGGAGAGGTCTTGTTGAGGACGGGAGGTTTTTGTTGAGGACGCCGGCTCCTCGGGAGTGACTTTCCGTGAGGCGTGGGCAGCAGGAGGGGGTTGGGGGGTTCCGGCAGGGGGCAGACGGAGCAGTAGCACATTGGGTGAAGGTGATTTGGGTCTGTGAGCCTCCCAGGAGGACATGCCCAGCAGCTGTAAAAACTCTCGAAGTCTGGGGAGGAGTCAGGGCTGCGGAGGGCGTGCTGCCAGCTCCCGGGCTGCCCTGGGCTGTGGCATCGACAGTCTCTGCCGCTGGAGCTGGAAGGGGCACGTATGCCGTTAGTTAGTATTCACACGTTCACGGGTCTGGCGTGTCTCCCGGTTCGTCTGTAATTAATGTGGAGCCTCGCCGCTCGCTGCCCACCGAGCCTGGCGCGCTCCAGTGCTCGGGACGCCGGCGTCTGCCTCCCTCCGCAGCCCAACCTTCCCCCACTGGGGGGACAGCGGGGCTGTTTGCTTTTCTCTGTGCTCTGAGCCCCAAGAGGCCTTCCCCAGAGCCTGCCTTCCTCCTTCCCAGAGGTTCACTGGGTCAGAAAGAGAGCGTAGAGCGGAGTCTTCGTTTTTAGCATCTTTGTTTATTTAACCTCATTTATTAAAGACCTGTCGTTCTACCATTAGCTAATATCTGGGTTGCCTTCTGTGGTTTACAAAGTGCTCCCAATCTTTCCTTTCACGTAGGCCGCACCATAGCCTTGTGAGATGTCAGCCTTAGTTTTCAGATGAGGAAGCTCTAAGAGACTCAGGTTTGACAGTTTGTCCAGAATCATGCATTAGCCGTCAAGTTCACGTTTGTATCCAGACTGTCTTCCTGTGGCCAGAAGCTTTGCGCTCTACAGTAGCTATCTGCACTCAGTGCCCAGGGAGGCGCCAGGGTGAGGGGAGCACAAATCTGGCCTTGACGTAGATCCATTCTGTGCACCCGGTGAGTGTCCAGTCACTGATGAGTTAACTGGAATACAGGTAAGGGGGGCTGAGGGCCCCAGAGTAGTGCAGCCAGAGGGAGGGAGGGAGAGAGAGAGGGAGGGAGGGGGAGAGGGAGGGATGTGGCAGCAGGCAGCGCCTGGGGTCAGGAAGACCAGTCCCTGTGGGGGTTTAGTCTAGTTTTCTATCATTCGTTAGTAAGGAGTCAGTCCCAACCCTTAGCTCTGGGTCCTTGGTTTCTGTACAGTCCCAGGTTGGTGCTGTAAGGGATGGTTGGTGCACGGTGCTTGTTTTATTGTGAAGTGGCAAATAGAGAAACTCTCAGTGGTAGATAATGGTAACCAGGCTTTGGAGTGACCTTCAGCTCACAACTGTGCGTTAAATCCTTGCAGTTGCCCTGTGATGGTGACGTGACGAGCCTCACTCTCTCAGCCTGTGGGGGTGGGGGCGTGCAGTCTCAGGAGCAGGTTGGCCAGGAAAACGAGTCGCCTCTTGCCTCCTCAGCAGGAGTGACTGGAGTCTCTTGTCTCCACCGCGGAAACTCCCAGCGTGGCTGGTGGTTAATAACAAGCAGGTGCTGCTCCGAGTTAGGGACTGACCTGGAAGCTTTTGGCCTCCCTGGGAAGGAGGAGGGCCATCCCTTTTTACAGTAAGGCAGGAGATGGAGGCTCGGAGTGAGGCGGCTTGTCCAGGCTCCCTGCAGCGGGGCGGGCATCTGGCCTGGAAACCCCAGCCCTGCACTCTGCCACCTGCCGGCCTTGCTCTGCCTTCATAGACTCGTGCCTGCCTTGTGCCAGGCCCTGGGAACACTCCAGCTGAGCTGATGTCCCAGCACAAGCGGAGGGAGTGAGGACACAAGCCCTGTGCCAGTTGGGGCTACCTGCAGTGGGTGGTGCCCAGGCAACAGCCCTGGCTGGTGCGGGAGGAGGATGTATTTGGTATGCCCCAGTGTGCCCGGCTAAGGGGAACCACACGAGAGTGCGGGGGGGGGGACAGGGTCCGGCGGAAGCCGGCAGCCGGAGCACCAGGGCCTTGCGCGCTCCATGCCACGACAGGTCTGTCCTGAGTGGCGGTCTCCAAGCTCACGCACTGGATACTGAACATTTGGAAGGCTCATTGTAAGTGTGTGGGTGTTATTTTAGTCTTACCGAGAAAGCCCTGCAGGGAAACTGTATAGATAACAGTAAAGGGCTCGGGAGACAACGGAGCTGGAGTCCGGGGCCTCTGTTGCCAGCTGGTAGACCTGGGGCAGTGACCAGACCTTCTGTGTCTCCACTGTCTGTATTTGTAAAAAGAGGCTAAAGATAATACTTTCCTGAGTGGGTACTTAGGACGAGTAACGTGCATAACACAGGCCTGGTACATGGTCCTGACCTGGAACACGGGAGCTGTCCATGGGCGGATCACGAAGAACATGGTCTGCAGTCACCACTGCCTTTTCCTAATGCCTGTGGTGTCCTGAACTACTTTTGTACATACAGAATCCCGAAAGCAAGGCAGGAAAGTGCAATAGTCCGGAGGAGGGCTGGATCCGGCTCCACCCCAGGGTGTGTCCTAGTTCAGGAGATAGTTACCTCCCCGACGGTGGCTAGCTGGCGGGGCGTGCGGGGCCCATGAGAGCTTGGTCAGGCGAGCCGAGGCAAGGATGGCCACCCTGAGGGGGTGAGCAAGCCGGGGTCTTGGTTAGTAGCCAGCGTGCCAGCGCTGTTTTGAGGCTGCCCGCACGTCACCCCTTTTAACTTGGACGGGGACCCCATGAGGATAGATGGTGACCCTGTTTTACAGGTGAGGGTGCTGGGGCTCAAAGAGGGTCGGTCATCTGCGGAGTTACATCACAGATGAGTGTCAGAACCAGGGATCCACTCACGTCTCTGTAGTCCCAGAGCCCGGGTTATTTTCATGAACCTGAGCTGGTAACTTCGAGGTCCTGAGGCAGGCAGAGCTAAAGATCATGGAGAATATGATGTGGCCAGCACCTGATGGTGGGAGGGCACAGCGGTCACTGAGTGTCAGTCCTGTCCTCTCCGGTGTCACGCATGGGTAGCATGTCCTCTCATTGAACACCTCGTGGTAACTGGACCGCAGGCAACAGGAAACAGATGCTCAGTTGGGGGCATTACAGGACTTGCACACAGTGATTCAAAGCCAGGGTCCACATCGGGCCTACCGGCCGTCTCCTCTCTCACCACTGTGTCTGCAGCTGCGTGGAGGGCTGGTCTGGATTAAGACTGGTGGGGGTCAGCTATGGCTGCGCATCAGAATCACCTGGGAGCTTTTCAGACCAGCTCAGTCAGGATCTCATTTGGGGACCTGGGCTCGCAGACTTGGCTTCAGTGAAGCTCCCAGGGCTGAGAACCTTTGCACTAAATGATTTATTTGATTCTTTCCAGTTCCAGCTTCCAGTTCCATCCCCTTCTGTGGGCCGCTACTCAAACCACTAGCCTCCTTTTTCTTCCCTGTTCTGCAGACACAGAAAAGATGTACTTAGTGCGGTGTTGACTTGGGAGGGAACCAATGAGGTGGTTACCCTGTTTTGTCTTCCCCGCTGCACTTCCCCGTCTGCAGTCCCTCTGTTTAGTTGTTAGATGAACACACACGGTGCATCGGCTGTCTCCCTCCGTACGCTCTAGAGAGCCTGGGCCTGTGTTCTGAGGGCTTACCCCACTACAGGCGCGAATATGTGTGTGTGGAATGAATGTCTCGTGCTGGGATAACAGGCATGTGTGGGTTATGCCGGCCTATTTTTTAAAAACTCGATCAACAGTGTGTTAGTATTTTGCTCGTGCATACTGGCTTGGCTGGTGGTGCCCGGGTCTGCTCTTAGTGAGTACTTAACTTCTCCAAAGGGTTGGTACACCTGACTGATCTGACTTCAGCAAAAAAGGAAACAAAAATGTCTGTTTCATAACCGTGTCTTAATGAAATTTCCCCCCCTCTCCCTCTTTTCCCTTCTCCATTCAAAATGATTAAGAATGTTATACAAATGCCAAGGGAGAGAATGGTATAGAAGAGTGTCCAGATGGTAAAGACATACCCAGTAACGAAGAGCGTCTGTTAGATTTTAATAGGGTAAGTGGACTGTCCTCCTTACTAACTTACTAACGGCCACACCCCCTTGCCACTCAGGCTGGAGCCTGGGAGCCCTGGGAGCTCCGCCCACCCGCCTTCCCAGGTCAACCAGCTCCATGGCCCCCAGCCTCCACCTGCATCGCCTCCCACCCCATCCGCTGACTACCAAGCCTTCCTGCTCCCCCGCCCCGACCCTCGTCCATCCCAGTGCTGCCACAGGGAATTTCTGCATACCAGTTGGACCTTGTCACTCCCTCAGAAGCCCTTGGGTGGGCACCAGCAGGGAGCCCTTCCGGTGCGCTCAGCGGACGGACCCCACCGGCCTGTGCCCTCACCACGCCCAGTGTGGCACTCTGGTCTCAGCCCTGGCCCCAGGCCGCGTTCAGTTTCTGTACCTCCGCCTCCCCACCAGGCCGTTGGGCTCCCGTCAGGCAGGCAGGCGGCCGAATCAAAGGAAACGTGTCTCTCTCCCCGGTGTCAGCTCAGGTCCTGTGAGGCCTTTTCCCCCACAGCACCCACAGCCCTGTCTTTCCCACCTCGGTGAATGGGGCCCCGCAGCGTACCCTGCTGCCGCACCCATGCCCGGGAGCCGCTCTCTGGCCCCTGGCCCCTGGCCCCTGCCCCCCGCCCCCCCCCCTCCTCCCGTCTCCCCCACCCTGTCCCGGCCGAGCGCCCCCTCACGGGTCCTCACACACCTGATGGGTGCCGTCACTGTGCCATTCTGCACAGACTCGGGAGCCCCCGCCTGAGGCCGTGCACACCGGAGCTGTGCGCCTCAGCTGGGCCTCGGCGACTCCCGCTCTTGACCGTGGTGGCCTTCTGCCCCTGCCCCCCGCCTGTCAGCCGTCGCCCCTCCCCCTCCTCCCGTCTCCCGCACCCTGTGCCGGCCGAGCGCCCCCTCACGGGTCCTCACACACCTGATGGGTGCCGTCACTGTGCCATTCTGCACAGACTCGGGAGCCCCCGCCTGAGGCCGTGCACACCGGAGCTGTGCGCCTCAGCTGGGCCTCGGCGACTCCCGCTCTTGACCGTGGTGGCCTTCTGTCACTTCACCCTGCCCGGAAAGGCCCTGTGTGGCCCTGCCGTCCTGTGCCTCCGGCCCCGCATCCTCTCTACTCCCCTCCGTCCTTGTGGCTGTCGTCTGCTTCTGCCTTGGGGGTCCCAACCAGGGGTGCTGCTGCCGTTTGGAAATGGCGGGGTGTTACTACGCCTGGGGGGTGCTGGGTACTCTGAGGATGGGGCGTTCCTAGTTTCTGTGATGGGGGTGCTGCTGGTTCCTGTGACTGGGGAGTGCTGGTTACTGTTGGGGGGGTTTGCTAGTTACTGTGACCGGGGGCGTGCTGGTTACTCTGGGGGGTGGGGACATTGCTCGTTATTGTGACTCAGGGAGGTGGGGGGGTGTCGCTGGTTACTATAATTGGCCGGTGGGGGTGGCATGTTTCTGGTCACTATGAGGGAAGGGGTCTTTGCTAATCACTTCAGGGGTAGGAGGAGCATTACTAATTGCTATGGAGGGGGGAGAGTGGTGTTGCTAATAACTCTGACTGGGTTTGGGGAGCATTGGTAGTTACTGTGACGAGGGAGGGGCTGCCATTTGCATTCAGTGTCCTGGGGGACAGAGATGCTGACCATCTGGTGTGTGGGGGACAATCCCACACAGTAAAGAGTTTTTAGAACTCCAGTCCTGAAGCCCGGCCCCCAGGCTCCCAGGCAAGCTCTTGGCTGTAACTTGCACAAGGCTTGCTTCTCAGCCTTCAGGTGAGGACGCTTCTCAGAACTCCCTTCCCTGTCGCAGCTGTATGACGTGTGTGTGTCCTGTCTGCGCCACATCACCTGGTTTACACCACAGCGTGCAGTTGTGTTGGTTGGTCGGCTTGCTGTGGGCTCTCCTGGAAGGCGAGTCCAGGGAGGACACGGCCGTGCCGACCTCCCTGGGGTTCCCGGTGCTCAGCCCAGCCCCCAGCCGTGGCCAGGCCTTAGACATTGGTTTTGTGCAGCCCTCCCACGTGGAACGTTTTGTCCCGGGGACTGAACTGAACATACAGAATTAGGATTTGGGACCCTTTATGGATCACGGAGGAAAGGTGGTTGGGTTTGCTCTGAAGCAGTGCAACTCTTCATATTCTTTAGCTCTGCCAAGAAAGCCAGCGATTTGCCGTGTGATCTCTGTATATCAAGAGTGTTTCATGTAGCCCTTTTGGAAAAAAAGTCTGGCTTTTGATCTGTTGAAAACTGTTCCTTTAATCCCAGGTGTCTTCTGTTTATGAAGCAAGGTGTGCCGGAGAGAGAGATGCCGGAGCAGAATCCAGTGGCTTCCGCAGAAAGATCTACTCCAGCGCCGGCTCCGGCTCGGAGGGCTCTGGCTCGGAGGGCGGAGGCGAGTGGGCGGACCCTGGCGAAGAAGAGCTCTTTTCTCGAACTCATCTCTAATCCTGCAGAGTAGTACAGATTATTTTTTGAGAGTGATATGTGATGGCAAATTACCCTTTTGTGAGGCCTGTTAATCTAAAGCAACAACTTAGGTTTCTTCTTCAATTAACTGATTCAGATCAGCAATTATCTTTCTCTTCTTGCTTATTTTAGAGTTGAGGACAGCTATCCTGTTGAAGATTTTTTGTTTTCCAAGCTGTTGAATTCTTGGCTATTTGAAATAGACTAGATTGTGTTGTCCAATCAAGAATGGGTGTGCATGTGCTTGTCTAGAAGCATCCCTGCTTTCCGCATCTCGACTGCAGTTGCTGTCTGTCCTTCCAGCTGCAGCCCGGTCACTGTCACCTTAGCTCCGCGGTGTCCGCAACCACTTCTGCTCTCCAGAGACTTGAGCTTTGGAACCTTTAGGCTTTGTTCTCTCAGAACTGGGATATAAATACCTACCCCTGCAATGGATCGGGGCCTTTCTCAAGGCAAGAGGGAAGCATGGGTGACTCATCCACGGTCTTCATTCAGTCAGATCTCATGTACATTTGACGTAGGAACCACAAGGGTGTGCTTTTAGAGACTTACAAAATACTGTGTTTTCTCTCTTAGGATTCTCCCCCCCCCCCACCTCGAGTATCATGGAAGATACTGTGGTTTGTGATTTTCTTGCTAACTGGAGGAGCTAAGGCTTTTGGGGTGTGGGGTAGCAGAGGAGGCCGAGTGGGGCAAGAGCGTACCCCCAGCCTGTTCTTACGTTGCGGTTACTTTTACGCCAAAACACCCCTTCAGGGTTACTCGTGGTGAGGGTCTTAGTTGCAAATTATGATTTTCTGGTGACCTCCATTGAATCGAAGCCTCCAGAACTCAAAATTATAAACGTCTGACATGCAGTAAAGGCCACCTCGTCACCCCGAAGCAGCCCTGGCAGCAACAGCCAGCTGTTGTCATGGCCGTGATTCGGTCAAGGTTAGATCGCATTTTGTGTTGGAGAGAATGTTCTGGGCAAGTTCTGTGTGGTGGGCTGGGGGCGGGCAGAGACGTCCTTTCTCCCAGACCTTTGTGATGGCTTCACGGAACTCGCTTCCCGCTTCCCGTGGGGGCCCAGCCGTCAGTCTGTCTCCTACAAGTCCTGCCCGCTCAGGATGGCCGCCGCCTCGGGTTTTCACGCCAGCAGGCAGCAGGTGGAGCTGCGAGGAGCGGTGTTTGTGAAACCAAATTGTTTTCCTATTTAAAAAAACAAAACCTAATCTGTAAAATCAGTTTAGCGTGTCTGTAACACCAGGAACTGCAGAGAAGTCTGACGTGGACGAGACAGCTTCGCCACGAATCTTGGCAGGTAGTACATACCATGTCCAGTTCACTAGCCGGGGGCTGGAGTGGCTGAGAAAGCCCTGGTTTGCTTCGAGCCCCAGGTGTGGTTGCCTGTCTTGTAACTGAGAACACAGACAACTCCAAGGCTGTGGAGTCACCCCGGGTTGTGTGTGTCCTCACCGTGAGAAACCTGGTGGACGGTCGGCTTGGATCTCACCACATGTCAGGGTTTGTTCTTACACAGCACATCTTAAGACACTTTAAAGTGTGTGTGTGTGTGTGCGCGCGCGCGTGTGTGTGCATGTGTGTACGTGTGCAGGTGTGTGTGTATGTGTGTGCAAGGTTTATGTTGCTGTTATTTATTTACAGACTTTATAAGGTTTTATGTATTTTTCTTTCTTCCGGAGCTTCCTAAAAAGTGATTAGCATCTGCACTGAAATATAATTTAACAGCAAAGGCAAAAAAGAATTGGAAGTTGTAAATTCCTAAAATCACTACAGTGACGATCCTTCTAGAAATCGTTGCTTATGTAGCAGAGACCAAATAAATATATTTCAGATACAACCTTTAGCTCAGTTGATTTTGGACAGCTGCTTTTTATCAAGACAGGGCTCCAGGTGGCAGAGGCACCGACTTCCTCCCGCACTGGCCGGAAGACGGTGCACCTTCCACGGGGGAAAGGGGATGGGTTATAAATGGGCAAGGGGATTACCAGATTATGTATTTATTTGTTTTCATAGCTAAGTGGCTGAAGCCCAGAGGCTTTCAGCAACAGAGTTGAAAGTGTGGTTTTTAGTTTTGTGAATGGATGATCACAAAGAAAAAGCATTTTTTAAAAAGTTGGCAAAACGCTGAAACGCCCTGTGGTATGAAGCGCATTGCATATCCGTAGCACTGAAGTATCCGTTTTCCATTCCTGGGCTGAGATTTTTTTCCCCGTGGTTGTATTGTTCTGATTTCACGTACACCAGAGTAACTGATTTTTTGTTTTCTTGTGGAGTTAACACCAAATAAAAATTTCGAAAAACAGTTGGTTGTCTTTGTTTATCATAGCAAAGAATCTTTTGTAACGAGCCCCAGCCTTGTCTTAAGGACCTGGGTCAGGAGAAGATAGAAAGTGCCCCAGTCACATCATTCCAGATGAAGGGGATTTAGCTCTTACAGGCATTGCTTAAGATGCTGGCGTTCTGCTTTGCTGGAAAAGGAGGAGGGGGTCCTGCTGATAAACGAGTCGCTCCCCTACTCCAACCCTAGCTCCTATCTGAATCCTGCAAAGAACACAGCATTTTTGTCCGTAGGTGTAGACAAAACTTCTTTTTCTTATGCAAAAAATTTATTAACAGGATCAGTGTTCATTGTAGAAAAAGAGATCAGTGTGTTTTTAAAATATAAGGGAAAACTGGGGCACCTGGGTGGCTCAGTTGTTGAGCATCTGCCTTCGGCTCAGGTCATGATCCCGGGGTCCTGGGATTGAGCCCCGCATCGGGCTCCCTGCCCCGCAGGAAGCCTGCTTCTCCCTCTCCCACTCCCCCTCTCTCACTGTGTTCCCTCTCTCACTGTGTCTCTCTCTGTCAAATAAATAAAATCTTAAAAAAATATATATATTCGTGTATATATATATATATATATACACGTATATATATGGGAAAACTCCTCTGCACTGCCACGGCCGCCGGAGCTGGTGGCTGCTCCCGTCCGTGCCCAGCGCCTTCTAGACGTCCAGCTGAGCGTGTGTCCAACTAGCGCGCCGTGTCTCGGGGCCGTGCTCCCCTGCTTTTCCGGACTTCAGACGCACGGCTTCACGCGGACGTCTTCTCATGGCTGTGACTGTGGGCCTGCCTCAGTTTCTTGTTTGTTTGTTTTAAGATTTCGAGAGAGAGAGAGAGCACGAGTGGGGGTTAGAGGGAGAAGGAGATACAGACTCCCCGCTGAGCAGAGAGCCGGACGTGGGGCTCCATCCCAGGACCCCAGGCTCGTGACCTGAGCCGAAGGCAGGTGCTTAACTGACTGAGCCACCCGGGCACCCCTGTATGTAACTTTTTATAGCTGTATTATTCTGTTCTAGAGATGTAGTAGGTTCCTCACTGATCTGCGTGTAGAATGTCCCTTTTCTGTGTAGTTAGTATTCTGCATAGCCCTTGTGTGGACACCTGTAAACCTGGGTGTCCTTGTACAGTCACTCCTGAGAGGGGGTTGCGGCCTGTGGATGCCTGCTGCACCCATGAGGCTCCAGCATCACATGGACCAGGAGGTCCTTCAGGGCCTCTGTTGGAAGTCCGACATCCTTTCTCTCACCATCTGTAAGCTGGTCCTCAGCTTTGGTTATTTCAGGCAAGTACTTTCTCCAGTTAGCATTTGTTTTTCATCTGGGGCAGAGGACAAGTGGATTCTATATACAGAAGCATTTCAGTGGTGTTTTATCCTTTTTTTATTTTTTTAATGGTTTCTGGGATGTGTGTGCATGTTTTTAAATGCTTTCTTCACCTTGAAAGAGTATAAGAGCATATACTTCTGTGTTTCTAGAACCCATCTACTTCATGTAGATTTTTCTTTTCTTTTTTTCTTTTTTTTTTTTTTTTAAGTAAGGTCTTTGCCCGATGTGGGGCTCGAACTCACGGCCCTGAGATCAAGAGTCACGTGATCCTCCGACTGAGCCAGCCAGGCACCCCTGTCGAGTTGGTCTTTGAAGCATGTAAATTATATACAAGGAGTGAGCCTTAAGGATTCAGCCTCCCTTTTTCCCAGCTAGTTGGCCAGCTACCCCAACTCGGTGTGTGATAATCGCTGACTGCCTAGGCGTGGCCCGAGTCTTCCTGGGTATAGCGGCAGTGCCCAGTTGGACGGGGAGCTCCCCTCCCGGAAGTGCCTGAGGCAGGCCTGGAGGGTGTTCGTGCAGCAAGGTGGTCCCTTGTTCTGGTTCGATAGGTTGTCCACAGGAGGTGTGCCTTGGGGCCACCTTGACTGTGGTCAACCTACTTGCTTCACCGGTGCCCACACTACACCGTTGCTCTGTGCACATGGTCACCTGGAGATTCGGCTCTGTCCGCAGGAATTGTGACATCACGGCTAGGTGCTTCTCAACCAAAGGGGTATAAAGCCCCCTATTTTTTAAAAAAAGATTTTATTTATTTATTTTGGGGAGGGGTGAAGGCAGAGGGACAGAATCTCCAGCAGATTCCCCTCTGAGCGCAGAGCCCGATTGTGGGGCTCCATGTCACACCCTGAGTTTGTGACCTGAGCCGAAATCAAGAGTCAGACGCTCAGCCCGCTGAGCCGCCCAGGTGCCCCTAAAGCCCTCTCTGTAAAAGAGTGTTGAGCTGCTGCTCTGGTGGCTGTGCGTGCCTGGGGCCGCACCTGCTCCGCCGTCCAGGAACGGAAAGGGGCGCCCAGCCCGGGGTTTCTCTTGAGAGCAGCCGGCGGCTGGGGGGCATCACCGGCCGCACTGTTTCGAGCACAGAGGCCGGGAAAGGTGCCCCCGCTTGAGAGCCCGCCACTAGCCTTGCGTCACTGGTGTGGGGAAAGAGGATCGCCAGGGACAGTTGCCTCACTGGACTGAACTAGCAGTGACTGGCAGTGACCTCACCACCTAACACGTGGATGGTGTCCGCCAGTCTGCTAGTAACAAGAACAGCGGGCATCCTTCCAGGCATCGGGTCATGTTAACGGACAGCCCCGTGAAGTAGGTGCATTTGCCCGCTCT